TTTCTACAGAAAAAACTTTTATGGAAAATTTAAATCTTCATTATCGGCCCGTAGCTGTGGTGCCCACGGCGCCGGGACGGCAGCGCGGCGTGGGCGACAAGAGCGACCCCTGCTCGCCGCTGTTCGTGCAGACGCTGATGGCGTGCCTGCCGAGCGTGGTGAGCCCCGTGATCCTGCTGCGCATGCTGCTGCACCGACTGCTCACCACGGCCGCGCCGCTGTCGCGCTGGAAGTCGTGCGCCTCGAGGTCGTCGTTCGCCTCGGCCTCGGTGCACGACGCGCCGCGGTCGCCGCGCAGCCGCGCCTCTTCCACGGACACGGAGCCGTCGTCGCTGCGGAAGCGGCGGAAGGTAAAGGCCCCCGTCGTCGACAACTTATTCGCACGCCTTGTGTCGGGGAGCGCTGATCGCCTCTGTCTTTACTACAACCTTGTCTGTGACGCTGCAGGTGAACCTGACCGTCGACTGCTCCGGCCTGGCGGTCGACTCCACGGCCGCGACGGCCACCTCTGTCGAGGACAGCCACCTCCCCGGACACTGCCCCGTGCAGCCCGCCACGCTGGCCGCGGCGCTGCGCTCGCGCCAACTGCAGCAGCCGCAGGTAACCTCTCGCTGGCCGCCGACCTCCACCAATACATACATACGATAATCCGTTAATTTTGTTTTTGTTTTCACTTGAATGCCATTATATTCTTATCGTTTACCCTGTACTACTACCCCCTATTGTTTGGCGACCTGCATGATGAACCGTGTGAACGCCCCGCGTACGTCCTCCCCCCCGTTGGATTCGCACTGAGCACCGCCCCCTCCAACCCTCTGCACGGAATGGACCTGGAATGGCCCCCTCCTGCTCCCGAATGCGCCCGATCCTCTCTCTCTCCACTCCCCGTCTCGCCTCGCAACCCCTGCTCTCGCCACGACCGCTCAGTGGGTCGTCACGGTCGTCATCCCATCTCGCCGCCGCAAGCGGTCAGCGGCCGGCCCGCCGGCCCCGCCCAGCTCCTCCCGCTGCGCGCAACTTGGCGCCACCCATAGCAGCCCGACTCGGGCCAGATGGTTGGCGATGATCATAGTGGCGGTCGCGGTCGTATGACGCCGCCGCAACTGACCGCGCCCTCCCCCTCCCCCCGGAGGAGCCCCCGCCGCACACTCTGCGGGCCGCGGGGGGTCCTTCTCCTCTCGCCACCGTTTCGATTCGTTTCACTCGTTTGCCCCTCTCGCGATGCGTCCGTTTAAGCCATCGCGGGGGCATTAGGGAGATTGAGCGTCCTCTCCTCCCGCAGCCGACAGCGCTGCGGTCACCACCGTGCTGGTAGTCAGCGCCCACCCCCCTCGCCGCAGCCACGCCACTCCGGGCCTAGTCCGGGCTCTTACTTTGTTGCAAACTAGAGTAGAGAAAGAGAAGTGGGAGGGGGGGGGCTGCTTTAACTCCAAAATGGTCACGTCCACGGGCAGCAGCAGCAACAGCAGCGGCGGCGGCGGCATCCAGACTGAAAGAGATACTGAGTGAAACACAAAGTTTTGCCCCAGCGCGCGGCCGGTCCGGTGCGGCCTGTTGCGGCCGTCGGTGCGGACGGCCTGAGTACATGCGGCCAGCATTACTCGTCATTACCCGAGTAGTTTTGTGCCGGGGGACAGACGGGACGTTGTGGGTCACGCAGCACTGGCAGCCACAAGAAGCGGGGCGTACTCGACCACTCGTTCCTGGGTGTAGCCGTGGTTGGGCCCAGAGCTTCCATCCAGTGGCAGGGGGCACTAATCAGGCGTGTAAGACCGTCGCCGACAACGAATAAGAAGTCCGGGTCGTGGTGTAGACTCCTCCTGACGACCATCCCTAAGCCCTTCCCCGCCCTGTCTCCTCTCTCTCGCCTGTCTCCTGGAGTTGGTTGTAGTTAGTTGTATGAGATGTGTTCCTCTTGCAGCTCAGACTCTGCGGCCTGCCCTACGCGCCGCACTGCGCGCCGCACAGCTCGGACGGCCGCGTGTCAGCCCCTGCGGCACCCCCGGCCCCGCCTCGCACCGCCGAGTGCCTCGTAGGCCTGGGGGTGGGCGTCGAACCCGCCCTGGCAATGCAGACCACTCTGTTCGCCTTCTCGCACCTCCTGGTATTCTAGTCTCCCTTAGCCTCTTCTCTCTCACTTTTTTCTCCTTCTCCTCTTCTCCATCCTATATTTCATCTCTTTTGATTCTTTTACCTTCTTAACTTCCATTCTTCTTTACCTTTTCTCTTTCACAAAAACAAACTTTTCTATGTATTTTCCTATTCTTCCTAGCTTTTTTCCCTAGCCTTAGAAGCTTTTTGGACTTGCCCTCTCTTGGCTTACATCGTAGGATTCGGTTTGCCTCGGGTTCCTTTTTTTCGAAATGCTCGTTTTTCCCGCTACCAGCCCCCGAGGCCGGTAGTACCTCGCTTGCGCCTTTGTAATTCTAACAAGTATCTAGCGAAGAAAATGTACCATTCAGCTGATTTTGGTTATACATATTAAAATCCAGACGTCTGAATTTTTGCGACTGACTTTTTTTGTAGCGCACATTAACACTCTAATCGGCGGGTCACTCATCCATTTGAGTGACCAAGTTGCCATCTAGCGTGCAATCACATCTAGATGGTTGCGCAAACTGCGTGGTTTTCGCGGGAGGCCAGATATATGATTGAGCCCTTTTGATCTAATATATGGAAAATTTTCACATCGGCGAAAACCACAGCAGTTTGTGAACGGCCCGGTCGATCTTCCCTTTCTGAGACTCGTTCGTCCGCTCTGCAGGGCCAGGCGCAGGCGCAGGCCGCAGACAGCCGCCTGGGGTCCCTGGTGCCCCGGGACTCGGGCAGCTCGGCGACGGGGCTGGGCATCGAGCCGGCCATGCAGAGCACCTTGTACGCCTTCTCCCACCTGCTGAGGAACGCCGCCTCGCGGGAGAGCCTCGCCTCCGCCCCCTCCTCCGTGTCGCCGCCCCCGGGCTCGCCCGGCCTGGGGGCGGGCATCGGGGGCGGCCTGGGGGCGGGCCTGCTGCTCCCCAACTTCACCCTCCACCTGCACCACAAGCCCAGGGCGTCCTTCAGGTAATAGCGCAGGCATGCATTCAGAGGATCCTGAGGGCCTCCTCAATCCGTCTGGCGTCAAGCAGAAACTGCTTCGCCACTTTGACTACTTATCATGTTTTTCCAGCTCCTATTCCGTCCCAGTAAAATAAAATATGTAAACATAAGATTATTTTCCGTATTTTCCCGAGAGATTAAAACACAACACTTCCTCTATTTTTTATTCCAATAGAAATTGCCCTCTTCATCGCATTTTTTAAAACTGCTTGGTCAGCTGAGGCTCTCCCTAACCTCTGTTAAGGCCGACCCTAACCTAACCTGGCGTGCCGCAGTCTGTCGTCCTGCCGCGGGCTGGCCGTGCCGCTGCAGTGGAAGCCCCGCTCCAAGTCCCATGCCAATATAGCGGACGACACTGGCGGCTTGGTGGTACCCGACAATTTGTACGTCCAGGGTCAGAGCTCGCATCTCCCTAACACCACTATGTTGGCACCGCCTGACGCCCATCCTCACTGAGAGAATCAAATTCCTTAAGAGCTAATAAATCTAGATGTGATCTTGGCAATGAGCACGAGGATGTACGTAAAGCTGCCATATTGGCAGTTTTATTTTATTTTTCATTATGGAGCGGTTCAAATTTTGACCGTATGTCCAAGTGCCGGTTACATGAAAATCGTGCTCGTGACAATTTCACCCTTTAAAAAAACGGCACTATCTCTACCCCTCACTTTGTGTCGTCGATCTAGCGTAGACAAGCCGTCAAAATCAAGGGTAGCCTGGACTAGCTTTAGCTGCTGAGGTTTATCTCAGTCGACGGCATGCTCTAAATACTGAGGGCTCCTCCATGGGCCTCGCGAAATCTGTGTTCCCACAATATGCACCTCGTTGATGTTGTGTCCGCTTGCAGTCTCTACACCGCCAACAAACGGGTTTAAATGTGTTTGTGTTGGCATTAATGTTACAGAGCGATGTGTATTCTGCCACTTGTGTTTAAAGTTGTCAATGTTAAATGGACACCGTTGTTGTAGACAGCACTTCGCAAATATTTGATGCGAGTTTCCTTTAAAAAGTACCCATAAAAATCACACACAAAGAAACAGGGGACACGACAATATTAGCCCAAACCCCACCAACTGAAAATTATCAATTTGTCTTAATATTTTCTTGCAGCGTAAGACCTAGGCACACATAGTAGCATGCTCTTTTCGGTGTTTGTGTTAGGTCTGGAGTCCTTAGGGGAGGCTTCGTTGTATTGTAACGCCCAGTCACTTCTCACCCACAGCAGCAAAAATCGTCTTCGAGTCTGTAGCACAATGTAGGCTTTTGCATGGTTGCCTGCATTGTCTCTATGCCCGTGCGGACACCAGTCGATGCTGTTGCCCGAACGGGCGTGAAAGCTCTAAAATCTCTCCTTCGCTAAACCTGCCGCTGATCTCCTCAGGTTCTCCACGCTCCGCCAGTCGAACAAGAGGCGCTCCAAGTCTCACGCCAACATCGCCAAGGCGGTGCACAAGGACACGCCCGAGCAGGAGATCCTCGCCTTTCAGAAGCAGCTTCAGAATTTGCCAGACTTCGACTCTCCCGAGCACCCGACGCCCGGTGGCACGGTGAGTCCCCGAGAGACCACCTGCTCTCATTGCCAACTCATTACACCAAGAGCACAAGGTTAAGAGTCTCCGTCTTTGTCGCAGACCTCGTCCGACCCCGCCACAGCCGCGGCCGAGTTCCTGGCGAACCGGCCGTACCTCCGTCCGCGGTCGCGGTCCATGCCCCGGGTCACGTACGAGTCGTCGCGCTACCTGACCCTCCCGGACACGACGCCGTGGCCCTCGTCGGGAGGCTCCCTCCGCCTGCCCCGCGGCCGGTCCGTGGGCGCGCTCGGCGGCGGGATCGGCGTGTTCGGTGCGGGTGTGTTCGGCGGCGCCATGGGCGCGGGCGCCCCGGGGCTCTGCCATGCCGCCAGCTCGCCCGCCACCACGCCCGCCGAGGAGAAGGTCCCCGGCGGCGCCACGGCCCCACCCGCCCCGGGCCCCGCGTCCACCGGCACGCCCGCCGTGCTCTCGTGCGCGCCCAACTCCAGGAGGTCGTCGCTGTCGCCGTCGGACCGCGGGCGGCGCCGGGACTCGCCCGCCTGCCTCATCGTGGAGCTGCCGCCGTGGCAGCGCTCCGTCCTCACGCTCCTCGAGGAGTGGATGCGCGAGTCGCGCGTCGAGCTGGAGAGGAACGCCCCGCTCTGCCGCGAGATCCGGGACTTCCAGACCAAGGTGCAGGCGTGCGGCCCGCCCTACCAGCAGTGGTGCGCCGAGCTACGCGCCGAGTTCCCCGCCCTGGTGAGTCGAGTCCCGCGCCTCCTTCCTTCGCCATCGCGTCCCTCGAGTTCGCGGCGCTGACCTGCGTCTGTCTGTTCCCAGGCCAGAGACCCGGACCACGAGGGCGAGGAGGACAAGGAGAGCTCCAACCGCGAGTACTGCAAGGTAAGGGACTTCCCTCGGGCCTCACCGTCGGGGACCTGTATCGAGGCGAGCGGCGCGGAGCTCAGCGGCCCGACCCGGGCCGCAGCTAACCGCAAATATTTGTTCTGGGCGTACATGCCCCCCCCCCATCCCCCTCGCCCTCTTCTCTTGTTCCTTCGCAGACTCCTTCTTTCGCTCCTTTACGTTTCTGAAAAAGAGCGGGGGAGAGGAAAGGAACGAACCTGCTCGGAGGAGGAGGAGGAGGAAGAGGAGGACGGGAGGCAGCGAGAAAAAAAAAGGAACGAGATCTGACGCAAAGAGAGGAAAGGAAAGGAGAGGCGGCGCGCCGCAGAGGCACAGCAGAGCAGTGCGGCGGCAGCAGAGCACACATGGAATGCTCGTTCTGCAGACTGTGTGCAGTCCAGGGGAGGCCGTCTTTTCCTGCACAGCGAGGGCCTCCGCCACCACCACCACCGCCCCATTTTCCTTCACCGGCCAAGCCAAAATATCCGCCGCCCCCCAATCCTGCAGACCGACCGACCTACCGACCGACCGCTCCGGGACCCTTCCTCCTCTTTGCAGTGCGCCTTGAAGGGTTTCCGGGGCGACGCGGCGGTCTCTCTATTAAAGAGGAGGGTGCGAGGTGCTGGGAGCGTGGTGGAGAGCAGGAGGAGGAGGAGGAGGAGGTGGAGAGCTACATCCGCGGCGGGAGAGCCGAGCCGCCTTCAAATATTTACCCGGCACCGGCCGGCCCGGCCCGCCGCTCTCCTGGCTCACCGGGCGGCCGCCTAATCGCCGGCGTGCTCAGCTAACTGACTTGTCCTCCGGCGGGGCCGCGCCACGTCGGCCCGTCGCTTATTGAGCTTTGTTCTTCCTTGACGCGTGAGCAAGGACCAAGGACCGCTCAGAATAAATAGTGCTACTGACAAGTTTTCCGTTTGTTGTCGTTATATTTGTATCATTTTTTTTTCGCGATCTGCACCCGCCGCCGACGCTTGTTAAAGAATAAGAAAAGTTGGTCGCGATGCAACTACTATACCGTTCGCCTCTGTCGCTCTCTCCGCCCGCCGCCGTGAGCGGGCAGGATGAGAAAGTGCGCGGGCGTGGCGAGGCGCGGGGCGGGCGGGACGGGCGCGCTCACTTACGCGAGTATGTGCCGATGTCCTGCATTACGTATGAGGAGGTCCTAGCGCGCGCGCCCGGAGGGAAGGGAAAAGGGGGGGGGGCGTATAAACCTGCTTTGAATATTGCTACCGTCTGCAGCCGAGGGAAAATAAAAACACGCCGGGTAGATTGGACCCTATGGCGCCTCGCGCGTGGGGCGCGAGGAGAGATAGGGGGGGGGGGGAGTCACTTGCGGAAGGAAAGGGCGGCGGTGATAGTAAAGCCAACTCCCACTCTCTCTCTGAAAGCTGATAGCAAATGCCCCGCGGCTGCTCAGTTCAGTGACTGGTTAGCTTCGCGCGCGCGCTGGCCGCCGGCCGGGGGCTCTGGCTGCCCCGCAGAGTAAACAAGCGCATGCGGCAGAGCCGAGCAGCGCCGGGCAGAGCCCCACTACTACCCGGCCACGCCCGCCGCGCCCCACCTCACCGCGCCTCGGCCCGCCCCGCCCCACCAGCCAGCACTCCCACACTGGCTAGGCCCCTCCGTCCCTTGGGAGTCCTTACCTGTCCCGAGAGGCAGGGAGTGGGCGCACGCCC